CACGTTCCGTGGTCCCGTAGGGCCGCAGGGATCTCCACCGAAGGCCCTTGTGGCCGCGTCCGCATGCACCCTCCCCGCCCGCCGCATGCCGCTTTCGGCACACCCCTCACACGCTTCGCGGCCCCATATGGAGCTCCACCGAAGGCCTCAGTGGCCGCGTCCGCATGCGCCTCCGCGCGCACCGCATGCCCATATCGGCACACCGCACACACGTTTCGTGGCCCCATACGGAGCTCCACCGAATGCCCCAGTGGCATCGTCCACATGCGTCCCCCGCACCAATTTCTGCACACCCCTCACACGTGAGGGAGCTCCACCGAAGGCCCCAGTGCTATGGTCCACATGCGTCTCCCACACCCATTTCGGCACACCCCTCACACGTTTCGTGGCCCAATAGGGAGCTCCACCGAAGGCCCCAGTGCCACCGTCCACATGCGTCCCCCACACACATCTCGGCACACCCCTCACACGTTTCGTGGCCCCATAGGGAGCACCACCGAATGCCCCAGAGCCACGGTCCACATGCGTCCCCCTACAGCCATTTCCACACTCCGGGTTCCCGGACAAAAAGTGTCCACACCTATGGCGGGAAGGCGATGCAACATGATAGCAATCACAACTGCGAAATGCCCTTGTTTCGCACCCCTCCCCCCCCAACACAAAGTTGAAGTGTCCACATTTTGTCCCTGGCCTTGGCCCTCCGCCTACACCCGTCAACTTTGAGTTTAGGGGAAGGAGGGAAAACATGTTGGTCCGACGTATTTTAATGACTCAAGGTCTTGGCGAGACATGTGTGGACACTTTTAGCCCACCCACCCCCTCACACGGCTCGTGGCCCCATAGGGAGCTCCACCGAATGTAATGCCCCAGTGCCACCGTCCACATGCGTCCCCATACCCATTTCGGCACCCCCCTCACACGTTTCGTGGCCCCATGGGGAGCTCCACCGAAGGCCCCAGTGCCACCGTCCACATGCGACCCCACACATTTCGGCACACCCTCACACGTTTCGTAACCCCATAGGGAGCTCCACCGAGGGCTCCAGTGCCACCGCGCTCATGCGTCCCACACACACCCATTTCGACCCCCCCTCACACGTTTCGTGGCCCCATAGGGAGCTCCACCGAAGGCCCCAGCGCTACCGTCCACGTGCGTCCGCCGCACCCATTTCGGCACACCCCTCACAGGGTTCGTGGCCCCATAGGGAGCGCCTCCGAAAAAGATACAATTGCGGTGCTCACAACTGCATATGGTTGGGTCTTCCGCTAGGTTAATTTCCGCCAGATTTCGGGTTCTTGGTGGTCTTTGGGGCTCTGGTGGGAGCTCTCCGAGGTCTCTTGGGGGCGTCTTTGGGGGGCTTCTGGAGGTCTCTTGGGGGCGTCTTGGGGCCCTCTTGTGGGTCCCAGGGGGCATCTTGGGGCTCTCTTGGGGGCGTCTTTGGGGGGCTTCTGGAGGTCTCTTGGGGGCGTCTTGGGGCCTCTTGTGAGCCCTAGGGGGCATCTTAGGGGCGTCTTCGGGGGGCTCTCCGAGGTCTCTTGGCGCGTCTTGGGCCCTCTTGTGAGCCCTAGGGGGCATCTTGGGTGGGGGCGTCTTTGAGGGGCTTCTGGAGGTTTCTTTGGGCGTCTTGGGGTCCTCTTGTGGGCCCTGGGGGGCACCTTGGGGCTCCCTTGGGGGCGTCTTTGGGGGGCTTCCCGAGGTCTCTTTAGGACGTCTTGGGGCCCTCTTGTGGGCGCGGGGGGGGGCATCTTGGAGCCATCGTGGAGGAAATCGATCAAAGAAGGCGGAGTCCCCGATGACGCTTTTCCCTTTTGAGCACCCTGGATGCCTCTTTGAACCGTCTTGGGGCTCTCTTGAGGCCATGTTTGAGGCGTCGGGATCCCTCTTGAGGGCGTCTTGGGGCCCTCTTAGGAGCCCTGAGGGGCCTCTTGGGGCCATCTGGGAGGACATCCCTGAGTTGGGGAGGATAATATACTCCGATGTTTGTGTCAGTATATATATTATATATATATATATATATATATATATTATATATAGATATATATATATATATATATATATATATATATATATATCCCTGGGGGCGAGGCCGGGGGCCCCAGGACAGGTGCCTCGACCCCCCATGGCGGGACGGGGGGGGCCTGGAGCCTACCTGGAGCAGCCCAGGCGGCCCAAGAATGCCCCAAGAGCGCTCCACGACAGGCCCATCAGGCTCCAAGAGGCCCAAAAGGGCGCCAAGAGGGCCACAAGATGCCCAAGATAAGCTCAAGACGGCCAAAGGGGCCCCCAAAACGCTCCAAGAGGCCTCCAAGAGGCCCCCCCAGAGGGCCCCAAGAGGCCAAAGTCGTTAATTTCACGAAGGTTTTGGACACATTTTGCCTTTCCCGCCTTTTCAGCTTTCCGACGCTCCACGACGGCTCAAAGGCCCCCCGCGGACGCCCCAAGACAGCCCAAGAGGCCTCCAAGAGGGCCTCAAGACGGCTCTGGAGGGCCCCAAGACGGCCCCAGACGCGCCCAAGACGGGCGAAGAGAGGCCCAAGACGGCCCCAAGAGGGGAACCGCGAACCGGAAATTCGAGCCTCCCGCCTCCACAGGGCCCCGGGAGGCCCCAAAGGGGCCCCAAGAGGCCTCTGGAGAGCCCCAAGAGGCACCCAGGAGGCCCAAACGAGGCTTCAAGAGGCTCCCAAACAGCCCTGAGGAACGTCACAACGGACGGTGCGGACGAGCCGCACTTCGGACCGCCGCCGCCGCCGGTCCAAGAAAACAGCCTCCTGGACGCCATGCGCGCCGCGGCCCTCCTGCGGTGGCACCTCCCCCCCCGGGCCAGCGCAGAGGCCCTCGGATCCCAGAGAGAATTCTCCGTCGTCGGCGGCGTCGCCGTCGTCGGCGTCGTCGTCGTCGACGCCGCCCCCGCCCCGGTCGCCCCTCGGGACCGCGCTCGCCCCTTCGACTTCTCGGCTCGCCCTTCGACTTCGGAGGCTCCTCCCGGGGCCCTGGGTCCAGTGATCCAGCCTCCTCCCTTCGGCGAGGCCGCGCCGGGGGGGCAGGCCCGGGGCCCGAAAACAGCTGACGAGCTCCATGGGGGCACCGGGGTTCATTTTCCATGTGTTTTTAGCGGGTTTCCGCGTCCTGGGCCTCGGAGGCCGCCGCCTCCAATCCCCCGTGGGAGGACGGGGCGGCCGGGGAGGTCCAAAATAGTCCAGGAGGGCTCCAAAGGCCCCCAAGACGGCCCAAGCGGGCCCCGAGTCGCCGAAAAACCGCTCCAGGACGCCCAGGATAGGGCCAAGGCCGCAAGAGGCCCCCAAGTGGTCCGACGAGGACCCCAAAAGCTTCCCGAGGGCCTCAAAGGCCCCTAGGAGACGTCCAAGAGGTTTTAAAATAGCCTAAGAGTACCCTCGATGCGTCAAAACTGCTTCCAGGAGGCCCCCGGGAGGCTTCTGGATTGCCTCAATCTGGCCGCAGGTGGCCTCAAGTCGGGCTTCCACGCAGCCAAGACGGCCAATGACGACTTCAGATTGCAGAACCGATGCCCCCAAGGGACCCTCAGACGCCCCCCTAAGAAGCACCCGAGAGGTACCTCCAACAGCCAGTTGACGAAGCATGCGGAACGCCCCAGAAGCTCCTCAGATGCCGTCGCGCGCCTGTGCTTGATAGCGTTGTCCAAGAAGATCGTCCAGCGCCCCCCCGGCCTGGGCTAGAACCTGAGCGCGCGCGAAGCGCGCGCGATGGTTCTAGTATACACATATATATATATATATGTAATGTATGTATACATGCATGCATGCATGCATGCATACATGTATGTATGCATGTATGCATGCATGCATGCATGCATGCATGTATGTATGTATGTATGTATGTATGTAGGTAGGTAGGTATGTATGTATGTATGTATGCATGTATGTATGTATGTATGTATGTATGTACATATGTATGCATGCATGCATCTATGTATGTATATAAGTATGTATGCATGTATGTATGTATATATGCATGCATGCATGCATGCATGCATGCATGTATGTAGACATACATATACATATATGTATATTTGTACGCATGTATGTGTGCATGCATGTAAACATGCATGTATGTATGTATGTATGCATGCATGCATGCATTTATGACTATATATATATGTATGTATGTATGTATGTATGTATGTATGTATGTATGTATGTATGTATGTACGTACGTACGTACGTACGTACGTATATATGTATGTATGTATGCATGTATGTATCTATGTATGTATGTATGTATGTATGTATGTATGCATGCATGCATGCATGTATGTATGTATGTATGTAGGTATGTATGTCTGTCTGTCTGTATATATGTATGTATGTACATATGTATGTATGTAGGTATATGTATGTATGTATGTACGTATGCATGTAGGTATGTAGGTATGCTGACATGTAGGTATGTAGGTATGTATGCACGCATGTACGCATGTATGTACGCATGTATGTATGCATGCATGTCTGTATGTATGTATGTATGTATGCATGCATGCATGCATGCATGCATGTATGTATGTATGTATGTATGCATGTATGTATGTATGTATGCATGCATGCATGCATGCATGCATGTATGTATGTATGCATGTAATCATGCATGCGTGTATGCATGTATGCATGTATGTATGTATGTAGATAGGTAGGTCGATAGGTAGGTAGGTAGGCATGTAGGTATGCAGATATGTAGATATCTATATATCTAGGTATGTGGGTATGCATGCATGCATGCATTCATGCATGTCTGTATGTATGTATTCATGTAATGTATGTATGTATGTATGTATGTATGTATGTATGTATGTATGTATGTATGTATGTATGTATGTATGTATGTATGTATGTATGTATGTATGTATGTATGTATGTATGTATGTATGTATGTATGTATGTATGTATGTATATATATAGGTATGTAGGCATGCAGGTATGTAGGCATGCATGTATGTATGCACATGTATATATATGTATGTGTGTGTGTATCGGTCTTTCTCTCTGCTCTCTGCTTCTGGGGTCGCCCAAGAGTTAGTGCTGTCGCCCAGGGCTGAGGCCCTTGTGGCCCCTCAGCAGGCCGCTCGAGGCCCTCGCTGCCTCGGGTCCTCTGGAGGCATCCCGCTTGGGAAGCTCCAGCCGTGCCCGAGCCGATCCAGCCCCGAGGACTCCTTGTGCCCGGGGCCTCCCGCGTGCCCCTGCACCCACGCTTGCGCCGCTTGGCGGCCAGCCTGGTGCGACAACTGCAGAGCGGCTGCGCGAAGGATGGACCCCTCGCCAGAGTGACCTTTGGTTCGCGGCCTTCGGGCTGCCTGGGACAATACCCAGGCACACAGGCCGCCATTGCTGCATCGCGCAGCGAACGGCATCTGCGCACCAACGGTCGCTCTTGTCTAGGGTCGCTCGCGTGCAGCCGATCCGCCTGTACCCTGCCTGGCTGCTCCGCCTCCGACGCCAACGTGTGCGGCGACAACGAGTGGCCGCGGCGCCATGATGCGCGCAAAGATTGCCACCAGAGCCGGGTCCAGCACGTCGTACCCGCAGCCGCGCGAGGGCATCGACTGGCGTAGCCTCGGCTTCGGGCTGGCCACAAGGCGCCGTCTCCTCCTCCCCTCCCACTTTCCCATCTTCGCTCCCTCCCTCTACCTCCTCCGTTCCCTCTCCCCAGACCAGAGAGAAGAGGGGAAGGGAAGCCCAGCAATTTGGCGGAGGAACCGGGCCGTGGCAGAGAGTGCTTTCCCAGAGGAGAACGCGCTAAGAAAGATCTGCTTCCCCTCTTGCCCTCTTGCCCTCCTCCTCTCCCTTCCACTCCGATTTCTCTTCCTGCTTCTGCTTCATCTCCATGACATCTTCCTCTTCCTCCTCCTCTTTCCCCTATTTTCTCCTTCTCCTCTTCCTCCCAGGGCACAGAGATCTTGCTAGATAGAAGGCGGTCTAAGCTTGTCGCGTGGATGCTTTGGCTTCTCAGCGAATCGAACGAGACGATGCAGAAGTTTCGCTTACGCAGCAACCGCGCTGTCAAGACGGTGGCGGGCACGCAATGGTCGAACATCCACCTGTTTGCGTGTCTGTCCTGGCACTTCCGCTGGCAGCGACACCCAGATTGCTGGGCAGTCAGAGCGGCAAGCGAGCAAGACTTCGACTGGGTCAACTCGCAATCTGGGTGTGCGCGTCCAGCACGTCTTTCAAACCTTGTTAAGACAGGGGCGTGAAAAGGTCATCGCTGGGATCTGTCTGGCTTGACCTCTCGCTTTAATCCGACGGGGAAGTGGGGCCCCAAACCTATCTGGAATCTGGCAGGCGAGCTTTTGCGCAGCATGGGCTGTGAAGACACAGCAGGAGCATGTTGCTCTTCATTCTTGTGGCAACTGGGGTACTCCACTTCCGACGGGCGCATCATCGTCATCAGCAACACTAGTATCACCATCACCATGATCATCACCACCATCATCATCATCATCATCATCATCATCATCATCATCATCATCATCATCAACATCATCAGTATCATCATCAGTACCATCATCATCATCACCATCATCATCATCATCAACATCATCAATATCATTATCATTATCATTATCCTTATCATTATCATTATCATTATCATTATCATTATCATTATCATTATCATTATCATTATCATTATCATTATCATTATCATTATCATTATCATCATTATCATTATCATTATCATTATCATTATCATTATCATTATCATTATCATTATCATTATCATTATCATTATCATTATCATTATTATCATTATCATTATCATTATCATTATCATTATCATTATCATTATCATTATCATTATCATTATCATTATCATTATCATTATCATTAGCATTAGCATTAGCATTATCATTATTATTATCATTATCATCATCATCCTCATCCTCATCATCATCCTCATCATCATCATCAGCATCAGCATCATCATGATCATCGTCATCACCATTCTCATCATCGTCATCACCTCTCATCCCCCTCATCCACCTCCCCCGCCTCCTCCTTGGAAGGGGGGGGGTCGGGCAATGGTGTCCTGAGGGGCATTCCATGCCAAGGAAAACGAACAGTGCAGAGTGTAAAATGGCGAACCGATGACAGTGACGATGGACATCGAGGCTGATTGTTTCCTCGTGTGCAACCCAAACCAGCAAAGACCGCGTCACCTTCTTTGATACGATACGTGGCAAGTGACACAAAGTTGCTGAAACTGTTGCTGCGACTATAATCCGGCCGTCCTAGCACACGCATGCCTGTCCACCTCGGAACAGATCCCAGCAGCTAGCAATCTGCACACTCGATGGATATACCTTCGCTTTCGCAGTCCTCCACCTACCATGTACATCCCTTCCCTTGAACGTCTTGGTGTGTGTGTATATGTGTGTGTTTGCGTGTGTGTGTGTGTGTGTGTGTGTGTGTGTGTGTGTGTGTGCAGGCGCATGCTCCTCGCATTGTTGGGGACGCAGACTACAAAAGCACACAGTCACAAGCAGCCGATGGTGGGAATTCTGGCCCAACAGTACCTGCATCTTCAGGCTGGCGCAACGCTGGCCCTGCAACCCTTATCACAATCTCCTCAGCAGAATCGTTTTGAAGTCCAGCCTTCCTCTTGCTTTGCTGCTGCTCCTCGTTCGTCTGGTCCCTCCGAGTTCCAGCCTCGTCAGGCCAGCTCGGGTTAGCAGCGTGTGACTAGGCGTTCCTACACCGGGCGCTGCCAATGACATGCTTGTGCGATCGCCCAGCTGAGTGACTCTCCAAACAACTCTGGCAGCATGTGCCACGCAGCCAAGCTTTTACATGCACGCCTCAGTGTGCTTTGGTGCGGTGCGCCGGGTAAGCAGCAGCAGTCAATCTGTGAGACCCACAATCGTAAATACGCATTGCTGACGAGTATTGTGATCTTGTTGAGTCCCTCTCACTAACCTTGAGTTCCCGCAATGCCGCAGCCTTCACGCAGGTGCCACACGACCGTGGGCATTCCTCAGCAAACCTAATCCGTTCATGTGCTCCGCCTTTTGCTGACGTCTCGTTCTCAAGCGTGAGCCCCTGCAGGCATGCAAGATATTGGAATACTTGCTCCGTCTGTATATTCGCGACGCCAGCACGTGCATCTAGCGCCTGACGGAGTGCAGGAGGCCCGTACTTCAACAAGCATTACAACAACACGTAGCCTTACTACCTCTATGGCCACCTCAGCCGCTAGTCGAGCTTTTTGATCTAGCAGTTGTTCGGTGAATCATGTTTTCTTGTGAAGTTGGTGAGTCCGATCCCCATAGATGCGCGAATTTTCCAGCCATTCTATGGTGTTGGGTCCTCGTTTTGAGTATGCAGCGCCCCGCGTCTTCTTCTTCCTCCTCTCCTCTCCTCCCCCCCCCGCATGTCTGCTTCTGCCCTTGGCATGTCTTTGTTTCGGCGCACCCCTCACGAGGATCGTGGCCCCATAATGAGCTCTACCGAAGGCGTCAGTGGCAGGGTCCACATGCGTCCCCCCGCCCGTGTCAGCGCACCCCTCACGAGAATCGTGGCCCCATATGGAGCTCCACTGAAGGCCTCAGCGGCAGGGTCCGCGCGCGTCCCCCGCCCATTTCGGCACACCACTTGCGAGGATCGTGGCCGCATAGGGAGCTCCATCGAAGGCGCCGGTGGCAGGGTCCACATGCCCCCCCCCGCCCATGTCGGCTCGACCAATGGAAGGCCTTCGAGCAGATCCTCCACGGGCAGTTGGTCAGCGCCTGCAGACAGCACGGTGGATTCCCCCTTCGGCTGGCCACGCTGCAGGTCGGCTTCTACAGGATACCACGCGTGATTTGCTTAGAGGGGTGCTGCTTTGACGAGATGATTATCTTGTAGGCGGTGCTGGCGGGCGATGCGTTCGCGACAGCGTTCATGAATGTTATGCTGCTCGCCACGCTGGGCGCACTAGCGGAGAAGCAACCTCGAATGGTAGCGGCGGTGGTCGTGGATGACCTCTGGTGCTGTAGCGCTGGGCAGGCTCCCGCTACGTGGAGGACAAGGTGGCCAGCGCCAGGACACTGGTCAAGGATCGTGGGAAAGTCAAGCTCGATGCGGCGGTGGAGAAGTCCCGGGTGCTCGCCAGCCCCGCCAGCTTGCGGAACGGCATTCTGGCTAAGCTGGTCAAGGGGGCGGGTGTCTTGGCGGCGACCCGCGCGCGCAAACTCGGCATCGATCGCGCTGAGGGCGGCCCCAAGGCTAATTTGGTTCGGAAACTGAAACTCGACATGGTGACGCTACGCCTACCCCGCATCCGAAGGCTTCTCGGGCTCCAACGGGGCCGCGCAGCCGCGGCGAAGGCCGCCTTCGCGGGCATTCTGCCCAGAGTCATGTACGGGCTGTCCTGCGCGGGGCCGAGCGCGCTGGTTTGCAGGGTCCGCGGACCCAGGCCCCGCGGCAAGTCCACGGCGAGTTGCTCGGTTTTCGGCGGGCCTCCTGAAAAGGACCCGGTCTTTGGCGTCACCTTGGCGCTGGTTGGTGCTCTGGCGCGCGCGGCTTGGGGGGGCTGGTCTACACCGGCGTGCTGGAGGCGCCCTTCGAGGGTTGTGCCAAACAGGTCGCTCGATGGGATCAGGTTCGAGGGACATGGGCTGCCGCTGCGCTTTCCCTCAAGAAGATCGGATGCGACGCCCGAGGCTTCGAGCAGATCAAGCCGAAGAGCGGGGGAGTGCTAAACGTTTCGGAGGCCTCGCCACGGTGCGTTATGCAAGTGCTACGCCTGGGCGCGAATACCTCGCAGATGAGGCAGATCACGAATGACGCGCGCGTGGACATCGAGAGCGGAGCATCGTGGCCCATCCGCGCATGTGCAATGCTCGAGGGACTGCGTCCACGGCAGAGGAGCGAACATGGAGGCCGCTACTCTCGGAAAAGGAGATGGGCTATGCCAGATCCCCGATGGCGTGCGGGCAGTGGCTGAACGCGCGGAGGTACGAGTCGGCCCCACGGCTGGCGCCCGCCCCGTCCTGCCAGCTCCACCAGCACGGGGTCGGCGCGTTTTGGCACCGTCGCGCGGAGCGCGCCGAGAGCTGGCCGAGCTTCGACCTGCCCGACGAGACCACTATGCTCAAGCCGTTCCAGACCAGCGTTGCGATCCGCCTTTTGGTCGAAAAGCTGCTGTCCTCAGAGCCCAGGCGCAATTGGGGGCCGCCCCAGGACAACGTCCTCGACGGGCTGCAGTGGCTGAAAGGAGACGGAGCTCGCGGTGCTGAAGGTCAAGGGCCACGGCGCGCTCGAGGGCGTGGAGGACGGCGAGATCACGCCGCGGCGGAGGCGCGGCAACCGCGGGGCCGACCAGTGCGCCAAGTTCGTGATTTTGGAGTTTCGCGCGCTAGAGCAAGACGGGCTAGCCGGGCAGGGGGGCGCGCGCCTTGGACGGGGCGGTCTACTAGATTGCGTGGGCTGGCAGTGGAGCGGCAGACGACCGCTAGTGGGAGCACTCCAACGCCGTGCCGAGGCAAGCCCTCGCCAAGTACGAGATGGTCATGCCGGATGGCGGCGTCGGAGGCGCTCGGGCGATCCACTGCTTGAGGTGCCTTCGAATGGGCTTCGGCGCGTAGAGCGCCCGCGGGCTCTTCGCCGAGACGTGTGCGGCAGGGGCCTTCGCCCTCGATGCGGGTGCCAGTGGATATGCGACGAGGCCAGCAGCGTCGGCTCTTCGGCGCGTTGGGGTCGTGGCCGTGGCGTTTGACGCTGCGAAGGCGTTCGAAGACGAGCTGCCGACAGACGAGCGCGCCAACTGCGAGGGCAATGCTGGCGCGGGCGCGACGCCCGCGGGCCCTCGCGAGGGCGACGGGGCCACGCTGCTGATGTGCATGTCCTGCCTGGCGGTGCTGGCGACGCCCGGCCAGTCCTGGAAGTCGGGCCGAGGGGATCCGCCAGTGCGGGGCGCGGAGGTGCCGGGAGCGGGCCCGACGCCCCAGGCAGTGGCACGGCCGCGTCCGGGATCCCCGGCGGGTTTGGCTCGCTGGGAGCTGAGGGCGAGGTGGGCCGCCAGCTGCGCGCCTACTGCGGCCCCAGGGCGTGCTTGAGGTGCGGGCAAGAGCGAGCGCCGCGGCCTCGCGAGAAGGCAAGTCCATGGAGGCTGGTAGGAGCGGGTGGCGGAAAGCCAACATGACCATGGGGGGAGAGGGCCCCTGGGGCGGAAGGCCGTTCTCCCGAGCGGGCGCCTCTCCCGAGCGGACGCCTGTGCGTGTGGCTCGTCTTTCTCTGAACCTTTCGCGTGCGGGCGCTGGGTCAAGTGGGCTCGGTGCCCGCCGCAGTTCGCGGGGGCCGAGCGGGGCGCGCTGTGCGCTCGGCTGCGCCATGAGGAAAAAAAGGCTCCACTGGCAGGGTCCGCGCGTGTCCCCCCGCCCTCTTCGGCACGGCCCTCACGAGGATCGTTGCCCCATGGGGAACTGCACCGAAGGCCTCAGCGGCAGCCTCAGTGGCAGGGTCCGCATGCGCCCCCCCGCAGATTTCGGCGCACTCCTTACGAGGATCGTGGCCCCAAAGGGAGCTCCGCCGACGGCCCCAGTGGCAAGGTTCGCATAGCGCCGCCTTCGCCAGGATGTGCGCTCCAACCCGTCCTCCTCCTCGTTGCCCCACTGCACTCGCAGATGCGTATGGTTGGGCCCACCGCCAGGCACCTATGCAGCAGCATGCCTCGAACAACTTTGCATCGTTTCGTGGAGAGGGGCATGGACGTAGACATTCAGAGTGACCTAGAGGGACAAAGGGGAGACACTCGGAGACCACGGGGGGTAATGGGAGAGCACCGGGGGCCACGGGAGACAACGAGGGACAACGGGGGACAACGGGAAACAGCAGGAGATAACGGTAGACAGCGCGAGGCAACGCGGGGCAGGGGGAGACAATGGGAGACAATGGAAACCAATGGGAGAGTCCACGGAAGGCAGCGGGAAACAATGGGACACAATGGGGGACAACGGGAGGCATGGGGAAACAATTGGGGACGTCGGGACAAAAGGAGACATCGGGAGACATTGGGAGACAACGGGGAACCGCGGAAGGCAACGGGCGACAGCGAGAGATAATAGGAAACAGCGGGAGACATTGGGAGGCAACGGGAGACCGTGGGAGACAACGAGAGGCAACGAGAGACAGTGGAGGCAAAATGAGACATCGGGAGACAATGGGAGACAACGGGAGACAACGGGAGTCATAGGCTCCCCGCCGATTCCATATCTGGCGTTCTACGTACTTGGTTTCTGGCAAGCTGTTTAGGGAACGCATGCCGCATAAGCCGTTGCCATCATCATTCGTTCACATCCTTCGAGAACTATTGCCAAGTGCGAGAGTTGTATCTTGGGTCCAGCAAGCGCCTGAGCATCCGAATGTTTGGTTCTAATGTCCAGGGCTTTCCTCGTGCCAGAGAACCTTCTGCACCACACCAAGTTCACCTCTCGCAGAGTCGACGCGCACAGTTATGTCTGGCCTCAACTCAAGGGCATCGTTCGCAAATTGCCCTGAACATTTTTGTTTCTAAGTCCGTCGGTCTTTCAGTCCTTTAATGGACAAGGAAGCCCAGTCGTTGCCATCCCCTTCATTTGGTTTGCAGCACTTTGTCTGCCTCGACCTGTGAGAAAACATGGCAACAGTATGATCGAAATTCATGTTGATCCCTTGCCTTGAGATGGTATCATGACGGATGTCTATTGCTTGTGTGGTCTTCAAGCAATTTCGCAAACCCCGCCCCCCAAACGCAGTGAGATCTTCTACGAAAGGACGTGGTGCATTCGCTGTGGTCACCATCACCTTCCTTCATAAGACGTCGAGTTGCAGCCTAGAACTAACATACCCCGAACGCAGATATTATGTGCATTGGTGTGTGTGTGTGTGTGTCTTCATCTATAGGTTCTCAATGGGTGGATCCTGTATGCCCGTGCTTCCCCTGAGTTGGGTTGCGACCGCACTCCTAGCCCGGCTTTAACTCGAGTCCGCTTCGCAGCTGCGCGCGTGGCCGCGACGCCAAAGAAGCGTGTCTCCATTCCTCTTCCTCCTCTCTTCCCTTGCTCCCCCTTCCTCTCTCGCTTCCTCCCTCCCTTCCTCCTCCTGCCGCTCTTTCCCCCCCACCTCCTCCTCCTCCTCCTCCTCCTCCTCCTCCTCCTCCTCCTCCTCCTCCTGCTCTCTACTTTTGTCCTCCTCGTCCTTCACCCGCCCAGCGCGCGGGCGTCGTGCATGTTGGGGGCAACCGCGGCCGTGGGGCAGGGCCCGAACGAGAAGGGGAGGGACGGATGGCGAGGAAGGGGGAGGGGTCAGGGGAGGTGGACAGGCGAGGGGAGGGACATGTGAGGAGGAGGAGGAGGAGGAGGAGGAGGAGGAGGAGGAGGAGGAGGAGGAGGAGGAGGAGGAGGAGGAGGAGGAGGAGTGGAGATGGGGGTAGATACGGAGCCAAACAGATGCCGAGAAGGCGATCAATTCCGGCGTGGAGAAATCGTTGGGTCGGCTTCAGGTTTGACCAGGCGTTCTTCGGGAGAGGAAGATGGTGGTGTGGTTGACCACGGCAACAGACTGCATCGGCAGGGGCCGATTCGCCCCCGAACGCTCCGCTGGGGATCGCTTCGCCTCCGATCGCATCGCCAGCTGCCCGTTCGGCGTTTCCAGGCCTATCTCGGGCCCGGGGGCATCACAAATCAATGCGGCGCGTGATGTCTTGCCTGGAGATGGGGCCTCCTTTGCGATGATTTGCTGCCTCCGATGCCCGTCACACAACCCTTTGCCTCTTCACAGAGGAACCCCTCAGTGAGGCTGTGGTCGGTTCGGGCGGTTCGGCGGCGTCGCAGTCGGTTGCATTCCTTCGTTTCGGTGTGGTCGGTTGTTGGGTCGTTGCCGCGTGGTGGTGTCCTTTTCGACTGCTTCTGGTAGATTCGGTTGCGGCTGGTTTCGGTTCCACTGTCGCCGTGCACGGCCTGGAGAAGCGGCCCCGACCACTACCTGCCAGCCGGCCCCTCCCGCTCCTCGACCCATCCGCCCACGCGTCGGGGGTAGGCGTGGTTCGCAGGCACAGTGGGCCCAGGTAGGGGTTGGCGGGCAGGTTTGCCGTGTCCGACCTTGTGAGCTTAGCCTTCGGTTGCCTTGCTTGCTCGTCGCATCGCGCGCGCGCGGGGAGAACACCTCAGCGTTTCTGGCCCAGACGAGGGCCCAGCGCCCGAAGCGTCAGAAGCAGGCCGAGATCGGAGTCGCACCGAGTGGTTGTCGCGGAATGAAGTCATCATGGAAGGGAGTGGCAGCTTTGCCACTCCCTGGGCCTCTGGCGTCATGATACATCCACGACGTCGGAGGTCAAGGGCTGATGATCCAGAACTTCAGATCAGTGTTGGCTGGTTTTTGTTTTGCATCGAGCACTTGTTGCCCCTCCCTCCTTCCTCGCTCCACTTTTTTTCCCTTCTCGCTTCCTCCTCGTTTTCTCTTCGCTTCCTTTCTGCTTGCTCCTCGCTTTCATTCCCTCGCCCTCCCTGGGTGCTGCCAACTGCGCAACTGGCACCGTTGTCGCCAGTTCATGGGATGTGCAGTGTATGGGGCGCCCTGCGCGGACCCCAGCGGGGCCTCGCCACCTTTGGGGGCTGCCAACTGCGCAACGGTTGCCGAGCTTGTGAGTTCGTGAAGGGTCCAGCGGAGTGCGGTACTACAGTGGGGGCCCATGCCAAGAACCCCCCTGCTTGCCTCCAGGGTGCCCCGGGTTCTTGGGTTTCGATGGTTTTGCAATGGAGAGCGCGACGTTCCCACACCAGAACTCGATGGACGTCCTGGGGTCTCAGGGTTGGGTTTCTCGTGGAGGGTTTCTTGTGGACTGGCATCCACATGTACGCGGATCCGACGCGGACCTCGCCTCCCTGGTTGCTGCCAGCAGCGCCACCGCCGCCGCCGCCGTGAGCCTCCAGGGAGGACCAGCGCCGAGTGCGGTCCGCCGCGGACCCGAGAGGGGACCTGGCCTCTCCCTGAGAGCGCTGCCAACTGCGCAACTGCTGCCGCTCTCGTGGGCTCCGCGCGGAGCAGGGCACGGAAGGTACGCCGTATTTCCAAACGCCGCTCGACGGGGGAAGTGCTGGCCGATGCGCCACATTCTTCTTCGCAGGAGGGAGGTGGCCGCCGATTCTCCGAGCGGCGTTTCGATGCGGTTCCCCCCCCCGAGGAGATGTGCTTGTGCTTTCTACGCTGTGTCCCGATGAGGCCACGTGTCTTTACATTTTCCCTTGGGTAATTTGCTCTCAAGCCTGTGTTGGTGCCCAAGCATTCAAGATGCAAATGCTCGAAGGTAACGGGAGCGCATGACAGGAGCAATGCGGGAGGCGAAGGCAGATCATGATGATAATGGGGGGGGAGGCGGAAGAAGGGGAGGAGGAGCAGGATGAGGACCAGAATGAGGCCATCTGTTCGGCGATGTTAACCGCGTGACGGCCGCGGCCACTGAAGAGAAGGAGGAGTTCCAGCAGCGCTCGTTTGTTACACATGATTCATTCGTGAGTGGGTGGGCAACGCGCATCCTGCGCCAGAAAACTGAATCAGGATGCAGCGGAGGTGAGCGAGCGGACAGTACGAAAGAAGAGCTGCAACTCCAGAGATTCCACTCCACCTGCGCCCCAGGGACTCCAAGATGATTGTAGCCAACTGCAGCGCTGGCTCCATGTGGGGAGAGCTCCGGTCCGAGCCCTATGGCGTCATCCCATTAGAGCCGGCGGCTACTATCCTGAACTACGGGCAGGGCATTTTCGAGGCCACCCTGCGTACCAGCTGTTGCAGGAGGGTGGGGGCAGGGGAAGGAAGTGAGATCAAGACATGGGGAGACATAGGGTCTGTGGAGGATCGGGGGAAGCGAGGGGAGGACGGTGGTGTGGTGCTGAAGCCCTGGAGGGTAGGCATAGCCCTGTCCGTTCGGGTGGGGCACACGGCCAGTCTCATCCTCGCAGATGTTGCAAGCGAAGTTTATGTGAACAACATTCCTGGACCCTGTGACAAGGACTTCTGTACAGTGCCGTTTTGAATACATGCTCCGCGTGCGGATCATGTATTAAATTGCAGGGATTTAGTACTATAAACAACGATGAGTTCATGCATAAATTTATTCCTAAATTCATATGGATTAAAAATCAATTTTTTAATATCATGTCTTTAAAACTGCCCTGTAAGCACCTGGTGTTGGTGGATGGTTCGTGCAATAAGCATCCCTGTGACAGCAACCTCTGTTTAAATGTTTTTATCAGCGAGATTGAGATCATGGGGGACCGCCGGTATTTCCGCGGGGCTGTGTCCAGGAGGTCAGTACCTTGGTGGTTGCGCATGCAGGACTGCCAGCATTGTCGTGGGACTGTGTCCTGTAGGTGAGTACCTCAAGTGAGCACGACCTTAGGAGTGACTGGGAGCGAGCTCCACGGCAGCACATACCGCCACCTATCTTACAGCTGAAAGGGGGAACTGCTCTTCAGCAGGATAGATCGCCACCTCAGGGGTGGCAGGTGGGCTTGCTCAACAGCAGGCCTCGTCAAGTGTCTACCATGTTGGAAAGTTCGGCCGTTTCGTTAAACGAGTTTGCTAATTTCTTTTACGGCTTCTTCACCGACAGCGCCGCCACATGGTGCTGCAGCCGAATGCGGCTATCGGCTATCGGATGAAGTCCGCGGAAACGTCGGCGAAAGTGGCGCGTGAGCATTATCGAATTTCCATTTTCGACCAAGTTTCAAAGTTCTGTCGCTTCGTTCAATGAGTACGCTGACATCTTTTACTGTTTCTTCCACCAGCACCGCTGTTTCATTGCTTGAGAGATCTCTGGCTGCTCCCAGGCTTGAGATCCAGTCGAAAACCAGTTCGACACGCAGCAGAGCAATTGCAGTGCGGAATGCGTTCTTCGAAGACAATTGATGCTGATGCAGCGATCTTCGGCGCCCTCGAGGATGCAGACGTGAGTTCCTGATGAATCCCTTCCTGTTTCAGTCTGTCGCTGCTCTAAATCTAGAGATCAAGTCGGAACACCATCCGCATGCACGGCGCATACCCCCAAAGGCGGCTCCCGCCTCCAGTTTTGATTGATAAATGTCCGAATGACACCAGCCCCAGATTGCAGACAGTTCTCGTATTCTGGTTGTCCAGAAAACTGTTCCCACACGGATCCTCACATCTTGAGCAGCGAGTGCAAGTTGTCAGTCGATCCTATTTCCGCCAGTTCGCGCGCCGGCTTCCCAGACGAGTTTTGGCCTCAGGTGCTTCGCGCCTAGCAAGCTTTACATGTTATCCCTCTTAACAAGTTCTCAGAGGGCAAGTTCTCAGAGGGCAACCCGAAGCTCAACGAGGTATGCGGGCGCGCTGATGCAGACGTTTTAGCACGCGAGCGCGAGCGCGCGGGCACTCAGCAACGCGGACGCGCGAGTGCGCAGCTCGCGGGCGCAGGAGGCACGTGCTCCACCACCATCGGGGGCGCTGAGCATGGTGGGCATGCTCCACGGCAGCCCGACTCCCACGCACCTTGCAGGTGACAGTGATGATGATCTTGCGGACACGCAGCTTACGCACCTGGACTCTGTGACTCGTGCTTCTACGTCGAAGCGATCAGGCCGAAACAAGGCACCGCAGCCTGCTTGGGCATTCTTGGCAGCGGCCCTCAGGCCGGAACCCCTGCAAATATTTCCGAACATGGCGATGATGTTTCGCCTACGGGGAGTGTGAATTGTTGCTTCCAATGTCGAACCGGTCACGCCGACCCGACGAACCGTAGGCTAGTTGTACGTTCTCGGCAGGGGCCTTTAGTTTACAATCCCTTGGCATAGACTACTGAAGGTGATGATGATGGTGATGATTATGATGATGATGGTGATGATGATGATGCTGATGATGATGATGACGACGACGACGATAATGATGATGATGATGATGATGATGATGATGATGATGATGACGGTGGTGGTGATGATGATGATGATGATGATGGTGATGATGATGATGATGATGCTGATGATGATGATGACGACGATCATGATGATGATGATGATGATGATGATGATGACGACGATAATGATGATGATGATGATGATGATGATGATGATGATGATGATGATGATGATGATGATGATGATGATGATGATGATGATGATGATGATGATGATGATGATGATGATGATGATGATGATGATGATGATGATGATGATGATGATGATGATGATGATGATGATGATGATGATGATGATGATGATGATGATGATGATGATGATGATGATGATGATGATGATGATGATGATGATGATGATGCGGGCATGCGGCCTACCTGGATGCAGGGACTCGTTACGTTTAAATGGGTCAGGTTGGCAGGGGTCGTTAACCCGCAATCTTGGCAAAGAGTTTCGAATCTGACGATGCTGTTGCGCTTGCAGGCATTGTGTACTGCCTGGAGTCTTGCCTGTCATGTCAACTCGGACAAACCAGCCCGACGGACCATATGCTTGTTGGGTATGCTTGACAGGGGCTCTCAATGCGCAGTCGGGCATATAGTTCCCTGACCGAGGATGTTGCTGCGCCTACAGGAAATTCCAAGGTTCTTGCCTGCCATATCGAATTGGTCAAGCCGACGCGACGGCCTGTAGGCTAGTCGGGTGTGCTCGGCATGTGCCCTGAACCCTTCGTGCCCTGGCACAGAGTACCGAAGGCGATGATGATGCGGATATGCAGGATACATTCTGTAGGCCGTGAACGGAGCGCAGGGGGAGCGGGACCCTTGCCGGGAGTGTGGAAGCGGTCAGGCCAGATCGGCGGCCCACGGGCTGAGGCTGGACGGGGCGAAAGTGCATGAGCAAGAGGTGGGTCTCTGTACGATTTGGGTGATTCGTACGAGACACGGCTCTCCATAGAGGTGAGCTTAAGGGTCCATTGGGCTCGTCCCGTGAGCCTGCGGTGCCCCACCCGCGCCAACACCTCACCTCACTGCCGCTGCTGGTCGCCTCGGGTCTCGGGCGACGAGAAGCATGCACGGACAGCGTTCCTGGGCCGGTGCCTATGCCTCCCCTGGCCGATCCAGGCGGGCGTGTGAACCGATCCTGGGTCCAGGATGGACCAGGCCAGTGCAGGTGCAGGTGCATGCTCCCCCTTCCTCCAGGGCTGGGGTCCTTTCCGTCTCTCTGTGCACTTCAGCTTTGGCTTCGGCTTCAGCTGCCGATGCACCGCGAAGCGCCTTGGGGCCAGCTCACCCGAGTCGGACTTTCCGCTCGCACGGGTGCTCCTCTGCGAGGTGGCGCGGCCAGGGGCGGGTGCCAGGCGGTGGTGGTCCTGCCATTGCCGCCTGGCTGCAGCCTGCGCCTGCAGGCTGCCCCGAGGTGCTCCTCGGGCGTGTAAACGCCCTTACTGGCGCCCCGTGCGTCCTCCGATCCCTCCCGCAGGGGGGTACAGAACGGCTTCGGCACGGGAAGTGGGAGTGGGAGGAGGATGAGGGGTGTGAGGAGGATGATGAGGATAATGATCGACTAGGAGGAGGAGGAGGAGGAGGAGGAGGAGGAGGAGGAGGAGGAGGAGGAGGAGGAGGAGGAGGAGGAGGAGGAGGAGGAGGAGGAGGAGGAGGAGGAGGAGGAGGAGGAGGAGGAGGAGGAGGAGGAGGAGGAGGAGGAGGAGCAGGAGAATGAGGGCGTGCGAGGGGAGGGGTCGAATTGGGGCACGAAAGAATGAGCAGGAGAGATGCAATCCCTTTTGACCTTACCCTGTCCTCGCCGAAGGCGTCGCCACGGTGCGAGATGAGCTTAACCGCTCTCCAGTTTGTTCTAGTTCCAACCCCCCCAGCGCTGAATCAGAGTCCAATTCAATCCTTCTTGGCTCCAGCCTCAGCTCCGTGCTCTCTTTTATACATAGTCAAAGCGCCGCGGTCCACCAGCTGCGGCTGACAGGTTGCATGGACTCGCCCTCTCTCTCTCTCTCACTTTCCGTGGCCATGCTTCTTATTGTGAAAGCCTCACGGCCGCTCCCCAGGGACCCCCGCTGGCGACCCCCCCCCTAAGATCCCCGCTGGCGACCCCCCCGGACTCGCCGGGACCCCAGCGGGGGTGGGGCTGCATTCTGACCCTGGACCCCCGCCACCAGCGGCGGGGCCTCCCGCAGGACCCGCTGGCGACCCCTCCGGGGACCCGCCCGGACCCTGGAGAGGGGCGGTATCTGATCCGGGCCCCCCCCCATGACACCTACCCCCCTTCCCCTCGTCAGGGCAGGGAAACAGGGAAGGGAGTCGACTTAACTACGACGTTTCTTTTCCCTGTTTCCGAGTGTCCTTGGGGCTGGCGACGGCGACGACGACGACGACGGACGACGGACGATGGACGACGGACGACGGACAACGGACGACGACGACGACGACGACGATGACAGCGTCGCTCTCACGGCAGAGGATTTGCGGATTTCCCAGCAGGACGGCAGGGGCGGTCGACTGCCATCATGTGTTTTCCAGTGACAAGTGTAAGAAAGGGCTCGGGGAAACCTTTCACCAAACCATACCCGATCAATGAACACAGGCCGAGCCTCGGGATTCGGGAACGAGTGAGATCGGAGAATTGTGTGTGTGTCGGCTCGACGACGACGGACGACGGACGACGGATGACGGACGACGGACGACAGACGACGGACGACCGACGACGACGACGTTGACGACGCGACGACGACGACGGCGGACGAAGGACGACGGACGGACGACGGACGACGGACGACGGACGACGACGACGTTGACGACGCGACGACGATGACGACGCCGACGAC